TGAAAACCTGTTTCTTCGATAACGCGGAAATGTTGTGAGGATGAGGGTAGAAAGCTAGATACTTGCAGTTTTCAGTAATCGAAAGTAGACATCTGAGACTAGATTTCCACAAGCAAAAATCATTTTTTAAAAGTATTCTGAAACTGGTTTTTGAGCAGAACTTTGAAAAACCAATTTGGATCTGCGAGAACTGACATGGAAATAGGTCGATCTTTCTTCACCAGATGCGCCAACAGAACCAAATTCGGGTATTAAAGGTGTAACATTGTCTTAAATATTGGTTGACCTCATTACTCGTCTTCTACTCAAGCAACGGCTCGACTTTGTTCCTCTTGTCCCTTCCTTACCGGCTGACTCCGATATTCCTGGTCGCCTCACTATCTCCTCGTGCATTGCTGCTCCCGCCACCACCCAACATCCCTTTTCTCTGTATGAACTGGTCCCTATCCCGTTCGCGCATATTTGTCGTCGCGTTCGCCTCGCTCAAATGCCATTCATCATCGGCCTCGATTTCGCGCACATGCAATTCATTTGACATATATACCATCCGATAGCCCTTTCACAGCTCTATAAAATGATACTATTGCGCTGGGATTAAATTTAGGGAAAGACATCCAATACAAGAGCACAATGTTCGTGTGCGCCATACATAAAAAAAGTTACATGAGAGTTGTGGACATTTAAGCGTTACAACTTTATGTGATTTTGTTAGATATCGAGTATGGTGGCCGAAAATGAATGACGATGTGAAAAGAGTAGTAATAGAATGTCCTGATTGCCAAAATTATTGTTTAGATCGTCAACCACATGAACCATTAGAGCCACTATCAGCAAATCGTCTTAAAATTAGAAAATTAGAAGTTTCACCTGTTTATGGTCTAAAAAAAACACATTGATTTGCCTTTTCGTAAGAGCTGCATCGTTGGCTTTGTTTCATTAAAAAATTGTATCGTATCCCCTGTTGACGCTCCCTCTTGAATATGATCAAGTCATGACTGACGGCCAATTTTGATCTAATTGTTCGTGAAACCGGCAGTGTTACTATCCATCATAATCTCGTTGTATCAGTTGATATTGGCCAAATAGATTGTGAATTCGTACACGGTGTATTAATGGCTGAATATGTTATATTTTCTGTTCTCATCCGTTACATCTTTCTTTTATATAAAGATTCGTGTTAGATTGTTCTACAAAATGACACATTATATCATAGTCTACACTCTATACTCTATAGTCTTATAGATCATATATAGTCTACCATAGTCTACTAAATCATGGTCATTAGACGTGACAAGAAAACGAATACACTAGTACTTCGCATGAAACTATTTGATTTCGCAATAAAATTACTTCAAAGACTGATGTGCAAAAGTGACTGTTGATTTTGTCGAAAACAGATGATTTAGTAGACTATATATGGTCTAGTAGACTATGATATAATATATCATTTTGTAGAACGAATCCTTTAAAAGAAATATATCATCACAGTGATTGTAGAATTGAACTGAAGGAGTTCAGTTTCCTCAAGTACGACAACCCTTCTGTGTTTTCCAGTAAGCTTAAAACACATTCATTCCACTCATCTGTGACGCCCTAAGCGGACTCAACGTCAAACCATTTAATCAGAAGAACATCCACACCTTCGTTATACATGAACGACTTTTTTAACTGTAGAGAAATACGTCCTTCGTGAGCTAGCAATGATTCTCGTTGATCCTATTGATAACTATTGCATAAACAATAAAGGAAAAGAAAGAAAGATTATTATAATTTATCGAGAAAAATGTGATATTGCAGTAGAGCAGTTACATAATGAACAGAAATGAATAATATAATTCTTGGGGAATGTACACCATCGATCGAACCGATACCGGCTGACCGGATTCTCAATGAGTTCTGGTGAGTTCTTATCGTACGCAGTGATTTCACGTGAACGAGAAACATTGCTTGCCTTTTCGTTGTTTAGCGCTAACGCTTCTGCTGGGGATTACGCATATTGTGCAGTTCATCTATGCGTATAATAAATTTAATTTAGCCTCCTCTTAGTGGGTTACTCAACAGACACATGATCTGAAAATGTGCCATATATTGAAAGATGCTGTCAATATTATTCGACAATGTGGTGAAAATCACTGGTCTTTATAGACTTTTATTCTTCAGTTATTGTAGAACAACGTGCAATCGATTTTGAAACCTGACCTCACCGAAATAGCGGTGATACCGGCTTATTAAAGCTTTTAGACTTGACTGACAGTGGTCATGTTAGAGTTTTTTGAATTAATTTTTGAGCGAACAATACTGGATCAATAAGATCTGGAAAAGAAATTACGTCGACATTATTATTATTCAGAGGAGCATCATCATCAAAGCCGTTGATATCAAACAATAATAAACCGTTTAATAAATTGTCTTGCTCAATATTGTTAGAATTGTTCAGCATCTGTAAAAGTTTTCCTTTCCAGACGTTTAATTCAACATACTCAGGTGATCTCATTGGATTTATTGTGCGGCATATTGTACACCATATGGATTTAAAAGTAATCATTTTGTTTTTGTTATGGATAGCATAAATACTTTTCAGTGGTATTCTTGACTGTTGGCCTAGTTGAACAATTTTCTTACTAACATAATCAACAGGTGTTAAATCTAGATAAGAGTTAATATCGGGTGCTACACGAATATGGATCAATCCAGCAAATAATCTATATAACCAATCTTGCTCATTAAAACATCCCGTTGTTGTACACCATGATATCATACCTAGAACTACTGCAGTAGAAGAACTAACAACAATAACAATTACTCTCCTATCTTACCTGGTCGAAATATTGTTACAGATAATCCACTTTCTTTCGCTTGTTGCATTATCTTTTCAGCGACCCATTTGCTTTGAACATATCCATTTGTTGTTTCCATTGATTGATAGCAGTCTTCTTCACCCTTAACTGACTGTACGCTTAATGTCGAAATATAATTAATCTTCATTTTGTGAGAAGAAGAAACGGCTAATCGAATAATTTCTAATGTACCGTTGACATTTGCTGCTCGGTGTTCAACATAACCTTTTAAGTGATTGACCATGGCTCCGCAATGATAAATCATCTGAATATTTTCTACTAAGTTTCCCCACATCTCTTTCGATAATCCAAACTGGTGTTGTGCCAGATCACCATAAACTGGAATAATTCGATCTTGTTTACTACTTATTGACAATGACCATAGACAGTAATGTTTCAAGGTCTCAATAATCTTATTTCCAGATGATCTTATTAAACAGAATATATTCGATTGAGTTTGGCAAAGCAATTCATAAAGCAGATAAGCACCAAGAAATCCTGTGCACCCAGTAAGAAAAATATGGTTACCATTCTTGTTACTTATATGTTGTGCCTCGTTGACAAAAGTCAATGTTGGCAATATTGAGTCACTATTTATCGTAACATAATTAATCTTCATTTTGTGAGAAGAAGAAACGGCTAAGTAATGTTTCAAGGTCTCAATAATCTTATTTCCAGATGATCTTATTAAACAGAATATATTCGATTGAGTTTGGCAAAGCAATTCATAAAGCAGATAAGCACCAAGAAATCCTGTGCACCCAGTAAGAAAAATATGGTTACCATTCTTGTTACTTATATGTTGTGCCTCGTTGACAAAAGTCAATGTTGGCAATATTGAGTCACTATTTATCATTAAATGTAGATCGCTTTTGACAACTACAACAAAAAATGATGAGAGAAAAATTGATCATAACTGCTGCTATAAAGTAGGCATATACTCCCTTTAAAATTTAAATTTTAGCCGAGAAACAAATTTCTTAAGGACTAATTTTTCATTATTTGTTTACAACTCACATTTCACAACTGGCCATGCGTGTTGTTGTTGCATTCTTTGAATTAACTGAGCTTGTAGCTTGATTGTTCGATTGTCAAATAGGCATGATATATTCATTATTATAGAATGAAATTTTGTTTTATAATAATAATATAGCTTCATTACTAGGAGTGAAGTACCTCCTAAGCTAAAAAAATCTGAATTTAATGAAATCTTTTCATGATTTAGAACTTGACACCATAAATCATGTATTTGTATTTCTAATTCTGTTTGTGGTTCAATGTAGTTCTTATTATTGATAGAGTTCAATAGTTGTGAGAAATCAGGTTGCGGTAATTGTTTACGATCAATCTTACCATTTGCATTTAATTTGAACTGATCGACTGTGATAAACATAGCGGGTATCATGTATTGTGGTAATTGTAGTTGGCAATATTCTCTTAATTCATTTATGAGTAGTTCATCGTTAGTATGTCGATTTTTCATCCGTACGTAAGCTAATAAATATTCTTGATGGGTTTGTTCATAGCATCTTTTCACCACAACACAACTTGACACTTCTAGAGGCGAATGAAGAATGGTTTGTTCAACTTCACCAACTTCAATACGCATACCTCGCAGTTTTATTTGATAATCTTCACGCCCTACAAAGATTATTTCACCATTTAGATTATATTTTACTAAGTCGCCAGTTTTATAATATTTTCCATCTTGTCCTGTTAGACGACGAATGTTATGCAAAACTTGCACACTCAAATCGTCTCGATTTAAATACCCAGCAAATACTCCCGCACCACCAATAAACAATTCACCATTTTCATTGTTAGCAACAGGCTGTAAATATTCGTCCAGAATATAACAATGATAATTCGCTAAAGGACGTCCAATTGGAATCAATCCCGAAATCAAATCGTCATTATTAACTAGATGGTAGATACATGCCATTGTACTTTCAGCGGGACCGTACAAATTATAAACTTTACACGTAGAACTAACATACTGTACGAACCTCAATATTGTACTCGGCACCATCGCATCGCCTGAAATGAGAGTCATGTGTATTAGTACAAAAAGTTCTTCTGTAATTGAGCAGTACTCGTTACCTCCAGAACAGACAATTCGCAGTGTTTCAAGGTATACAATGTGATTGGTATTTGATTCCAAATAATCGCACACTAATAACATAATTGCTGGAACAAAGATGACGAATGTTATCCTTAGTTTTTCAATAACATTTGTTAAAATATTCATATCAAGATTACTATTAGGTCGCAACATTGCGACTGTTGAACCAATAATTAAAGGCGCTAATAGATCCTTTAAATGCACATCAAATGAGCACGGTGCAATCTGTAAAACTATATCGTTTCGGTTCATAATATCCAAATAAACCAATGAAGACACATGCAAAACAAAATTTCTATGACGTATTCGAACCTAAGAAAAACTCGAAAAAGAAACCTTCAACAGGCATACTTTGAAACAGCTTACTCCTTTTGGATTTCCAGTTGATCCAGACGTGAATATGATATAGGCAATATCTGAAATCGTGATTTGTACACTTGATATTACATCTAATTCGTATTCAGATATCGCCTCTAAGCTGATAGTTAAAATAGTTTGTTCAA